TCTAATTTGGGTGCTTTATGCCCTCTCTGAGTCCATTGACATAGCACCTAACAAACGAAGCTTCAGATAGTTCAGGATTTTCATCCTGGACATCAGCCATCAGTCCTTCAATTTTTAGGTCAATAGCCATGGGAGGAAAACCTTTTTGTCAGCTCAGAACAGAATTCAGTCCATGACAACAGTTTCTCTAACAGTCCTGACCTTCTTAAACACACGTCAGCCTCTCCTGCAATATAAAGTTGAGCTAGAGACAGCTTATATTCTTCAGGTGCAGCAGCCATCTGCAAATATTTGTCACATTGTCGAATCCATCCCACTGGATCCGTCCCCTCAAACCTGGGAAAATCCACCTTAGGCCCTTTTGTGATGGGTTTCATGAACCGGGCTTTCAATTCCTGTTCATATGTTTTCAAATATCTCTGTGTTGATTGAACTGGCTACATGCTGGAGTATAAGCTTGTGCTGGGACTGGTTCTGGGGAGTGTGTTCATTTCCACTTTCTGGTGCCTGCTGTGTACGCATGCCAGGAGGTACATATGGTCTGGTGATCCTGATAGGTGGTAAATTATCACACTGCCTGTTGTATGCCTTCTCCATTTCCAGTTGTTTTCAAAGAAGATCAGTTCTAGCATTTTGATGTTCTACTTGAGCCTGCTGTAGTATAGGTGACTTGATGTGCTCTGTTTCACCTACTACTGGTTGTTCTTCAGGTGCATCACGAGAACATTGGGGTTGCATAGATTTAAGCACTGTACTCATAGCGGCGGGGCGCCATCGATTTTGTAGGGGATTTGTATGTGTATTGTTCTAACATAATGGCAGAAATGGGGAATCAAATCATCAACACAACCTGGCTTACATAGGGAGGGTTTAACCTTCAGATAAGTGGTGGTAAACATGATTTTCTTTTTGACGGGTGCGGTAAACAGGATTAACAACAACTGGATGGTAAACGGTAAAAAGGAGGATATCGGCCGCCGAGCGACTGTAACTCGGGCAAGGAGCGATGGCAGTCGTCTGAAGATATGTGACACTTGGTCAGTTACACACGGTCGAGGTCGTAGGCAGGTGTGTCATGTGACTGGTCAGGAACGCCGCCTCATGTGTCATGCTGATCTGCACCAGGCTCTCCTGGATGGCGCGCATGGTCGCCTCCGTCGTCGTCACAGCCGCCCCATCACCTCCTACCAAATCAAGCAGGGGAAATAAAAATGGTGGGTGTAACAACCCGTTGCCACAACAATCGCCAGACGTGATTAGAGAAGGATAGAGGGTCGTGATTAGAGAAATAGGGGATCAAGAGGGGGAATAAAAATGGCGGGTGTAACAACCCGTTGCCACAACGATGGCCAGACGTGTGTAGTCGTAGAGAAGGATAAGAGAAATAGGGGATCGAGACGAAAGGTAGAGGGCAGGAGCAGGACCGAGGAAGAAGATGGCTTCAGTTTTCGTTTCTGTGCGAGGCACTAGCAAAACGGGCCCGTGATGAGCGAGGACGAGTTTCGGGAATCCTGGCCCATATCAAAGTACCTTCCGTTTCCGTGAGAGGTCAGTAATCCTACTTTACCCTTCCGCCGGCGCCGACGCAATTTGCTCCCGCGCCGTGTTCGATTCGAATCGGGAATCCATACTCGCTCTCGCGAGATCCAAACCCATATTTCTCGACCCTAGGTCTCGTCGAACCATTGCTCAATCGGGTGATGTCGATGCAGCGGGAAAGTCGTCGCCTGCAAATCCAACCCCATGGTAAGTCACGTTGTTTTCATCTGTACCCCAGTTTTTTCTGAACAAGATCATGTAAGGTAATCAGATTCTTTTAGGTTGGTTTAATCTAGTGTCTTTTTTTCAATAAATAGAAGAAACTGTTTGGGTAAGCTAGGTTTCTATGGTAGTGTAAAAGGATTTTGTTTTGCTATAACATCAGTGTAGCCACTCAAATACACAGTAAACATACACTGGATTTGAGAGGCCCCATGTGTTTTCCTCCATGCTAAAGTTAGCAGGTGGATGCCGATCCTTGGCAACACAACAGAGGGGAAACCGAGTCAGACTCTCTATGCACCCTCTGAATTATGTGTTCCCCTGTCTTGTTTTGTTTGTTTGAGCACCGTCGACGATGTACGGGGTACTTGGGTGGTATCACAATGTTTTACACCAATGTATGTATATGGTCATTCAAAAGTTTTTTTCTTCAATTGAAACTTGGGTGTCTAGCTCGAAAAGCGTTATTTCTGTTGACTAAAGTTGGACGAGAAGAACTATTTCTCTGTCAGCATGTGCATATACATGCTTCACTTTTTCTTTTCTTGTAACTTTCCACCTGATCATGCATTATGTATTGCAGATGGACCAGCTGATTCAACGCTTCACAGAAAGGACTCAACCTGCACACAAGACCATTGTTCCCAAGGTGGTGAACCGCAATGCCCTGGGCCACATCTTCCAGAGGTACGCCATGAAACGGTGATGATGGGCTATGAATGCTCTAATCCTACTGCATTAGTAGCTTTGTTTGTTTTCTTTGAACTGCCTGCAGAAAAATGCCTGTCATGAGTGTTAGAACTTAATCTTCACGAGAGGCCCCGTCCTTTCCTTGATACATTTTTTTAATTCAGATGACTAGCCATTTTTGTGCCCATGTTTGCTACAGTATATAAATATCCAGAGTGTACATACCTACTAATAATCTGACTTATGATGTTATTTTATACAACTCCTTCCCGTTAAAAGCTCAATATTTTGACCGCATTATTTTTACTAGTCTGATTGACATTGGGCTCTTAAACCAGTAAATAATCTTGATCCACATTAGTTCGAGCAACCCTTCTGATATAAGGGCAGCTGCTCATTTCCTGCAGTGAAATGATATTTTTTTGGTACAGAAAATTTCTTCTGCGATGACACAGTTATCTCCATCCTTATTTGTTTTGCACTTCTATATCTATATAACAGAGATTGATGGTAAGACTGTTCCAGTTAACATGATCGCATCTGGATTATGAGCGAGTTTAGGACCATGTAAAGTGTACGCCTTCATAGTACCAGAACTGGGAAGTGGTCAATTTGGACGGATTTTTTTGGATACGTCGCTATTGTTGGAAGTGCTAGACTGCTAAGGCTACTGCACGCAACCTTTTATCGCGGTGTTAGTGGATGGTGCTCTGTATAAGTAGTCATTTAATTTGCCATCATGACGAAATTAGGTTGTGTCAATGAAGTTGCCTCGCCATACGACATAAATGTGCGTACATGTGAGTTCGACGAAATGCAATGGTTTCACTCGTAGTAACTAGCCGATACTAAGACTATCTTTCAGAACCAGTAATAAGACATTTAGGAAAGTAACCACCCTTTACTCAGCGGTCAGCACAATTGCATAGTGTGCCTCTGTATCGCGTTGCAATTATGTGCAAGCACTTGGGCTAAAATGTTACTCTGTGGTTTTTTTCATTCTTTTGTCCATTTGAAATAATTATTCGTGGCCATGTTCAGCTTTTCTCACATGTTTGTGCATGCAGGATATCTGGTGTCATATATTCTCCCTACTGCCAATGCAAGATGCTGCTCGAGCTGCCTGCGTGTCTCATGCATTTAAACGTTCTTGGAGATGCTATCCAAACCTTGCTTTCAACGCGAAAGCACTGGGCATGGATGAAAGATCATGTGGAGAGGATGAAATAGTAAGCAATTTCACCAGCAGAGTTGACAACATTTTGAAAAATCACTCATGCATTGCCATCAAAACACTCGAGATTGTTTTCCGTTATTATGATGACAAGGTATGTAACCTTGATGGCTGGCTTCAGACTGCTATTACACCAGGGATTGAAGAACTCACTGTTCAGCTATCTACAAAGTCACGAAAGCATTATAACTTTCTGTGGTCACTTTTGGCTAATGAGAATGGAAAATTGATTCAGTATCTAAAGCTTTCTTGT